GATCCTTGGGCAACCTAATGCGAAGAGGGGACTCCTTGGAAGAGACCCTGGGGCGGGGAAAGATGGAAGGCAAAAGGAGAAGGGGACAGCAGAGGATGAGATGGTTAGATAGCATCACCGAAGCAATGAGCATGAGACTGAGCAAACTGAGGGAGGCACTGAAGGACAGGAAGGCCTGGCGCGATAGGGTTCATGGGGTCACGAAGAGTTGGACACAACTTAACGACTGAACAACAACAAATATGGAATTAAACAACTTAAATGGTTCCCTATGAAGACTGCTCAACAGATATTGAGTATGCAACTGAAAATATATACTTCTTAACAAACATAATAAATATTGGGAAATTTCTAAACAAAATCATCATCTCACTAGAAAGTTGTCTCACATGTTTAAAATAGCATTTCACAATTAGTGCTGTTTTTAAACAAGAGTAGTTTCTGTATTAAGGTTTGTCACATGCCCTTATTTCAAACTGTCTGTTCTTCCCAAACCTTTTATATACAGAACAATTAATACCCGCTTTTCAGAATATCTCATATCAATGGAGTATGATGGATGGTCTTTATTTCAGAAATTGCTCTTTGATGATCTCCTCCATAGGAAGCTGCCTTATTAAACCATTTATGTTTATTGTTTTCTAAACTATTTGTCAGAGGCTCTTTAGGGTTTCAAACAGAGGCGATATCCAGCTCTACATGGAAATGTAAAGAACAGAACCCTCTACCTGCCTATATCTTTCCAAGCTATAATCTCTTTCCATATTCCTCACAAGTTCTTTGATTTATTGATGAAAAATTCAAGGGTTTGCAGCACTGATGCATTTCCACTACCACAACCATGCTATGAAACACGTTTGAGTCACTAACATCAACAAAAGCAAAGCTGAGAATTAAAAAAAAAAAACCTCTTCCCACTATATATACTACTTATTGCTTCCTTTTAACAGATCCTATCCAAGCAAGTCAAAGGTATTTTTTAAAAACATTTCTAACCTGAAGGGCTGGCTGTTTGTCATTCCTCTTGGGAGACTTTAGCCCACTAACTTGCTGCTGTTGTTGCTGTTGCTGCTGTTGCTGCTGCTGTTGCTGCTGCTGCTGTAACAGAAGTTGTCTTGCTACCTGTAGAGCCTGAGAAAGAATATAAAAAAAATTAGTTCCATCTACCCTAACTTGCTGGAATGCTCATAACAGGTTAGGCTTGGCTAAAATTGGGTGGGATATTTTTTTCTGGCAGAGCATGTTGGGTGAACCCAGTCAGTGTCTTAGCATGTTGTATGAAGAGACCATCAAGTGAAGCCTTGATATGGTTTTATTTGTTTAAGCATAGCCAGTTCTATGAACACAGCCACTATGTTTTAGTAACCTGGCTTTTGATTTGAGATGCTACATGAATGCAGCCATCATGTACATGCCCTCAAAGATATCCTATCAAAGAACACCACTAGGCTGGCCCCAGCAGCTACTCTCTTTTTTTTGGTGGCTGGGGGAAGGGGCGTTGTCTATGGAATTCGTTGTTTTTTATTTTTTTATTTTTCTATAATAGCAATATATGAACAACAACAGTAACAGAAAAAATACAGTAGTGGTGGCCGGAAAAGAACCTACGTACATTGTGATTATTAAAATAAACTAAATGTAGCAAAAAAGAAAGCAAGGGAATGGACAAAAAACTAATGAAAGGAAAAAGATAAGATATAATATCCATATAATATCCATTTAATATCTATACAGAATTAACCCCCAGCAATTACTTAGTAACATTCCAACAGCAGTACAGCAAAGCCAAAACATTTACATAGTAATGATGATCTCAACTGACTCTCAATACTATCATCCTATCATTTAAAGAATTCAATATTCTGTCCCAATCCATTCAAAAAATAGACTGCAGTTTTTGTAATAGAGAATGTCATTTGGCCTCTATGTAAAGTCATTTTATAATCTGATGAGAAGAATCAGTTTCTGGAGAAGACAGTTTTTGGTGGGAGCATTTCGTCACTGTTTCACATTATGATAAGACATCAATAGCCTCCTTTTGAAGCAATCCAAAGGATTTAAGAGCAACGTCTCACAGAGAAACAGACATTTAAAATAATGGTATTGCTGCTCCTTGGCAAACTCTGGAAAAGTTCTGTTAGGCCCTGTTCGTACATTCCATTTCTTCCTGAATTTGCTCCAGAAAGTGATCGGGAGGCGATCTCAGACTCATATTTTCTCGTATTTACCCTTCTTGCTTTGCTGCTGCTTTGTCTGTTATGAGGAGGGATAAACAAATGAACTGGGAAATCCTGCATTTCTATGGACACTGGATTTCCTTTAACATAAAAAATTAAACTTTCTTTAATTCTTGTACTAGAGTTAGACAATAATTACATATCTATGCTATTGGCTTTTGCCCGTGTTGTTAATGAGGTTATTGGCCTTGCTATTTCAAATAACCTCATATTCATTTACATATTTAAGTAAAGCCTGTTAAAAAGTGGCTTTTGAGGGTTAGGTCTAGTCTTTGACTGTTATGAAAACATTAGGTAACAAGAAAAGTATTATCTCTACAATTCAGACTAGAATCGGAATGCTATATATTCAAGGTTGCTTTGCTAGTTTCAAGGGGGATAACGGACCCCCATGTAAGAAATCAGCAATAGCTGGATCTAGGAAACAGTGGAGAGGGTTGGGAACGCCAGTGCTACAGCTGAAGATACATTTGGAATTTTTGAGGATGTAGCCAGTGATATAACCAGGAGACTGGGGAAAAGAACAAAGAGATTCATGAAGTGTTTTCCTATGCAGCTTACTCCAAGGAACCTAAAGGACTCACCAACATTTCAGATATGAAGGAAAAAGTCTGCTTGTAGGAGCCAGAAGGAAATTAATGCCTGTAAGAGGACAGCTGGAAGCTTAGATGCCTCAAGGAGTTCTCCCCTGCTTGCTGCCTCACTGGAGGATTTACCATTGCTGGACTCAAGGGTTTCCTTGTCTCCTTGGAGACGTTCAGTACATGCGTAGGTGTTAACAGTGGGAAGAGTAAAGACTTCATCAATGTAAAACAAGAAAGAAATAGTCCTGTGCAAGATGCTTACATGGAAGGGGGGAGTGAGGCATCCTTCAGCATATGTTCACAGAGATATTTAGCTAAAGCTGATTGTATGGTATACCTGAATATATTTAGTTCCACAGGTTGGAAAATGTGATCATCAATTAATTAGAAAGGACCAGTGACCAAGTGGGGAAATATAATAAGCAAAGGAAGTCTCATGATTCTTAGCAAAGACCCAGACTATTATGCTTCTATTTCTACTTTGACATACTACCCCAAAACACACTATAAATATCTAAACAAAGAATGTTTTCAGCATGAAAAAGAGTATCTACCTGGCATAAAAGAAGCACTGTCACCAGCAATTTTAGTTTCAGATCCAAACACGAACACCAGAAAAACAAATTCAATGAAATATAAAGTCCAGTAACATGTCTATAACATTTATTTCTTGACATCCACATTTATATTTTTTCTGGCTCATATCTAAGTAGATCTGGAACAACATTTTAAGAATCCATGTTCTCCCTCATATGCAGAGGAAACATATCCCTTGATTTTCTAATGTAAAAGCTCTGTCTGTCTGTCATTCTGTCTGTCTAATCATCAAGTTATAGTTTTGATAACTTGGTAGACACTTGAGATAATTCTCACTATTTTTTAATAATAATTCAAAGAAAATTTTAGACATTCCTACCAGTAAGTTGGAACCTTTCATAATACTTTGAAGCAAAAGTGGGAATGGGGCTGAACTGTTTACTATAGCTATTTACTATACAGAGGAATCATGGGTATTATGTCTGTACTGCGTGATTGTTACTGTATGTCAAATTTTTAATTATAATGTGCAAGCAATATGCATATACTAGATAGTTCTTTGTTTTTTCAAAAATGTTCCCACATTTGCAGGACGTGTCTGTAATGGTGTGTGGGAATGACCTTGAGAGATAGGGCAACAAGACGCAACCAAGAAAACAGTCAAATAAAAGGCAGCTTAGCCTGCAGCAGGAATATGGACAGGGCAAGAGGCTCAGAAGAGGCGCTCTCTGGTTTTTGGGCTGGAAAGGGGGCAGGGGGAGAAGTACTTTCAGACTTGCAAGATTCTGTTAATGCAACCTTACAATAAAATAGAATTAGCTCATCTGATTGTGTTCCTGTCTGGTCTATCTCATAAGGCTAACAATGTCAGATGTGGGAAATGGTTAAGGTCATCTTTTTCATTCATGGGGCCTTAGGACATCACTAACTTTTCTTGTTTAACCTGGCACTGTCTTCCAGAAGACAGAGTGGAAGGCTGGCACAGGAAAGACTTCTTGGAATTAGAAAAGATGCCTGAATATGAAGCCTGAAAGAGAAGAGGGAAACAAAGGCCCTGCAAAGTATAATGTCATTTTGCCCAACCTCCTGCTTTCCAGATAGACTGGCCTACAATTCCCATGATATCAGCCACCATGGACCCAGGCCATGCTTGCTGGGAATGATGGGAATTGTAATGAAAGAAACACTGTACATTGTATAAGCCAGTGCTGGGTGAGAGTTGCATTCAGGTGGTAGAGCCAAAGAAAAATCAGATGCTCAAAATAAAAGTAAAGGAACAGGTGCCAAGTTTTGTTAAGTTTTTAAAATCTGAACTGATGTGGTTAAGTAGCATTTGTTGCAGATCCATTTTGTTACCCTGCATGGGTTCCAAGATACTATATGCACATTGACAATCAGGACTTCTGATATTTAGAGCCACTGAGTATATAATTAAATTAAACCACAGGGACCTGGCAACACCTTACCAACGCACAAGAGGAAGATTTCCTTTCTCCATGTTAAACTTAATGTTTGTAGAACAGGCTGGGGAGTGCTAATAGTCACCTTTATTACAAGGAAATCCTCGAGGTCAACCCACGCCGTCTGTTCCACTATTCAGTTTAACTCTCACCTTCTCCAGCTGCTTCAGAGAATCTCAGTTCACTCCTGACCCAAAATCCAACTGCTTGCCCTATAATTCTAAAGGCTAATCAACAGTTATTACTTCTCTGGAGCTAGACTAGAAAGAAGAAGAGCACTGAAAAGAAAGCAAGATGGCTAGTATAGTGCTTGCCTGCCTCCCCTCCCACCCTCTAAGGCACTGCGTGACTTTAGAGGGTCTTTATGAAATTAGCTGTCAGATCTCCATTCAATCTTAATGGTCACCAACTCTTATTATACTGACTTCTGTCCCCTTAATGCAGCTTGTCAACTGTTGCTTAAGAGAGAAGCCTAGCTTTTAAGTAAGCTTTCCATCTCTTTTAGCACATGATGAGGGATGAGGGCAAATTTTTGGTCACTGTAAACAGCTTATTTTTATAGACTAGGATGATACAACCCATTCAAAAGGAATGCCTTCTTTAAAAAGAAATATGACTGGCTTTTATGAATCTTGAAGATTGTAAACATTCCCACATGGAATGGCAGATTAACAAAGCATTCTGCGTATGAATAGGTAGGTACATATATAAAGAAGCAAGTATGTTAGTACTATGGTGACAACTATAAAATATCTAAAATCCTCTTTCTGTACATAAAACTTCAGCAAGTCAACCTTTTTGACATCTGTTTTCTTTTATCTACTGAATGTCACCAATAACATAACTCTCTTTTCACCAGCAGACTTACAGCATAATATGAACATGTGTGGTAAACACAGTGCAAGGACCAATTAGCAAGTGGAAAAGGAATATTTCTTTTCATTTAACAACTGGGGAAGAAAAAATAGTTCAGTGAAACTGGGTTCTAGATGAGACTGAAAAGGAAAATAATTGATGTTGATAACACAATGCATGGTGTGAAGAAAAAGAAAGAAGTTTCTTTCTCTCTCTTTAATGACAGGTGAAGCCATCCAATAACTAATGACAAACACTAGGGGAAATGCTTCTTCCAAGAAAATGTATTTCACTGGGTGGCAATGGTTTCTAGACAATTTCAAAGATTAGATAAATCATGGCTATTAATTCTTATAGCTACAGTATACAAAATATACTATTTATGAAACTCCAGTTTCATAAACAGTATACCACTGAATATAAGTTGCTAGGAGACAACAGTAGGACAAGGCAACTAG